CTGAAAAATCCATACGCCTTTAACTGCTTGTAGCCAACTCTTTCACTTACTCAATCTTTTTTTTTTCCCAAGATAAGACCCAATCTCACCTCACAAGCTGTTGCTGCAGGGTTTGGAACAGGAGAACAGATGATAAGAATATGATCCTTTTCAATGTTTTTTGGGTGTATAGCTGTCTTCATGTGTTATCCACAAGGCTCTATTCACCCAGGAGGAATAAAAAAAATCCATCAACCTCCCCTCTGCTTTTCCTCTGCCAAAATTAATGTGCTGACTTTGTTTCTATAAAGGGAAGAGAGGTAGGTGGGACCAGCTCTTCAGGCATGTTGACTAACAAAACGTGAGTGCTACACACCATGCATGGAAGGGAGCTTGATGTGGATTTGGGAGCTGCCCAGCCACACACAAGGTCCTTCATTGCTCAATCTGGCACACAGATATGGAGCTGTGTAACCCAGCTGGGAGACGGGGGAGACTAACAGCTCCGTGAATTCTCCCCTGTAATCTACCCCTATCACATTCAGGCAGTAACACTGGAGAAGGTATGCACTGCGGGCACTGCATGACACCAGATTGATAAAAGTTAATTTAAACTGGTTCAGGAAACAAATCTCAGAGCAATGTGCAGGCATTCATCCATATTACTATACACAAATAAAATTTAACTCCTTCTTAATGACACAAAAATAAGACTTGACAGTGATGTTTTACATAACAAAATAACAGATTGTTGCATATTCACTGTTACCATGGTGCTCAGCTATCCTTGAGCATACTGTCTAGAGCAGGAATGTGCTCTGGGTATCATGACGGTAAAACCCAGTGCAGGAGTGACATTGTACAAGTTGGGGTTTTTTGTAGAGCTGTATGCTGAACTGCTTAGATCACTGACGTGAATGTCAGTGTGAAGGACTGTCATAAAACGTTTGGCACAACCACTGAGGCCATGGTGGAGCAGAAAGAGAAGGCCAAAGTATTTCTTTTTAAAGTATTTTGAAGGAAAGCGTGTTTCATCATCCAGTGACTTCTATGGATGGCTGAGGAACAATGCAGTCAAGGAAATACATGCACAAAAAATGTTGAAATACATAGGCTTCTTCCTGATGAAGACATTTCTCTTGAGGACTGTAGGTATCTTAGTGAAAAACTGATGATCCAAATGCATATTTCTCATTGAACTTATTACAGCCATTCCACACAGGTATTGTACTCATCACCAGTTATTCATTAAGCAACATGACTAACATCTGTCATGTGGTGTTTGTTCACTCATTATCTGTCTATGAGTGAAGAAGTCTGTTGCAGTGGTATGCAGATTGTTTTGGTAAAGGTTTTTATTATTTTTTATTATGATTTACTATGTGTTACTCTACATTCAGGGCATAAAATTGTTTTGTGTAAATACTTAAGCCAAAAGGTATGAACAATCCCATGGAGAATTTTTTAACTTTGTACAAATGTCTCATATAAAATTCTGCATCATCTGCAGACCAGCCTTACTCTATCTGTGCACACTGGACTGCACCAAAGAAGCCAAACTGCTTAAGGTAGTCACGATAGTACACTCCTGAACTTAGTTCAACCTTCCATGGCTAGATGTATAACACTTGAAGGCAATGTTGAGGTATCCAAATTTCAACAGACAAAGAAAAGATGCAGAGTTGACAGGCACTGAAAACAAGTCACCAACCAGGCAAAACCAGGCTCCTAAGTGAAAAATGACAGGCTTGAAGAGAGGCTCATAGTTCATACTCAGTACAACCTGCAGTCTTTGCCACTACATGACAGGTTTGCTTTGCCCAAATAATGTCTTTTAGTTGCTCCATCTAAAACATATTCTGACATTTATTAATTCATTTTAGGCTGTTCTAGGAAACATCTGTACAGCAAATGTGTCTTAGACATACATCTTGGATGATAGAGATTTCCTTTTGGACTGGACAGCCTGAAATAACGACCTATGCAAATAATACAAATGATTGATACTCGTGGTATTGCTCATCACAGTGCTATCTGCTGGTTCTCCCTTGATTTTTAATAAGATTTAAAAGCCTGTGAGTGAATAACCCCAGCCTATTCATTATCTTAGCCTAGCATGAAAAGCTGTGGGGCCTATGTGGCAGGTGCTGTGGGTTAACAATAGGGTACTGTTTAATCCAAGGGAAACAAAGAGGAGAAAAGGGCCATGAATAAAAGGATATGGGATCTTTTATGAGGTCAGGAGAAGCATTTTGGATCAGGAGGTGTAAAGAGAGGCCAGCTACAGAAAACATTCCTTCTTGCCACACTCCTTTGGCCAGCAGCATGAAATTATACCTTGTAATTTGTTCTGCAAAAGACAACGGGATCAAAGTGAAATATCTAAACGCAAGAAGTTTACTGATACTCAGTGGATCACCCCTACTTGTAGGAATAGTTGATTATGGTTCCTTGGGGAATAAACTATTCTTCTGGATATTGTTCCTTACCAGGCTCACCTCTTTGAAACTCAGAGAAACACAAGGAGACAGTCTAACAAGTGCAATAGCATTTCAACACAGGGAAAAATGGTATGTGATCTACAGGTTTGTTTGTTTTTAAACACTGACTCAGCTAACTGAGAGCACTAATTATGCAATCAGTGATTGGGAGTTTAGAGTGGAAAGTAGAAATGTTGAATCAAAATTGCAAACAAACTTTCTATAAAATGCCTGAAAGTGTTTTTGCTTGTCTGTGCTCTATAACTGTAGTGGGTTCAGGGTCATTCGTGTCATTCCTTGTGCCTTTAAGATACTGTTTCAATGTATAAATGGGCCTTTAGAGACCTAAAGACAGATGGAGAAGAGTACAGTTTCAAAATTTAATCAAATACCTCTCCATTACGAAGCACAGATGTTCAGGGTCAGGAACACACAAGTGTAGTATTGCTGTATCGTGTCAGGCTACTGATGCTGCTGTGGGAATAACCTAAACTATTTGCAGGTGACTCAGAAGAAGGTGCAAGAGCATGAAAAGGAAAATTGTATCATAATTTGCCTACTGAAAGAGTTCAACACTTTCAGTCACTTACCATAAGTATTTATATACCTTAGGATTTTGAACTTTACCTTTAAATTAGTGAGTGAAGCAATGATGGATGCTCACATTATTATGTGGCCAATGGCTTTTCAAATTTTGCAAAGGTCTTGGGCCAAGTGATGACATCTGGGAATAATTTTCATGGGGTAATTGTGCATCATGAGGTTCTTCTTTTCCTTTGAAATCAAAGTTCTGCCTTACAACTTCATGAAGCACCCCCTATTTTTGCCTTAATAAAAAAAGGTTAGTGTAGTTTCCTTATGACACTCATTATTTTAAAAATGTTTATTATCGTGCTTTCTTCTTGCTATTTCCTCTAGCATATATAAATGACTTTCTTTTAAACTACTACAGTTTGGCAATCCTTTTCTTTGCTTTTAAATAACTGGGGAATCCCATGCAAAGACTGATCACTTAACATGCTTGTGGATTTTGTGGTTTCTTCAGTCTGGCTTTTAGGTTGTCAGGAACCTCTTGCAGATGTATTTTCACTGAGCGCTATCCATATTAGAAGGAAGGACTGCTCAAGGGCCATGTAGTTTCCTGTGGGCATTCTCACATGAGCATCCATCAGGCATGATACAAAGTTTTAGACAGCAGTCTCCATATACCTTCTCACCAAGGCATGTTCCTCTGCCTTGTATGTGCTCTCCTTTTCATTTTCTCATACTCTGTTGAATATTTTCTTCTTGTTTCCTTTCCCGTTCTCCTCCATTCCCCCTCCTCCCATTTCAGCTACCTCTGCAGGAGAAATTTCAGCTGGCCTTTTGGTTTGTGTACTCCAACCGATGTACCTATACAACCCAAAATCCTTAGTGTTGATGCAACTGATACGAACGACTCTATTTCTTGACTGTTTACTTCCTGTTGGGGGGGCTAGAAAAGGACAAAACCAGTGTTTGTAAGATGATCCATGTAAGATGAACTGTGTCCGCACCAGAAGCACTTTGCCAGGGTGCGTGACACATTGCTATATCCTCTCTCTGTCCCATTTAGCCCCATTTCCATCCCTATTCATTTAAAGCAGTCGGGTTGCCTTCCTCCTGCCTGGAAGTGTGAACATAGAGTAGCGTGGGCTGCTTCACAAACAGGGAGAGCTTCAGCCTGGAAGGGGTTTTGAGCACCTCATGGAAAATCACTACCCGCTACCTCTCCCTCACTCCCAAACACACAGAGAGCATGCACAGGAACATTTATTAAAGGTACAAAATGCACGAAGAAAGGGAGGTGCAGTGTCTGCTCTGAAGAATCTGTAATGCACACGTCTGGAAGACGTTTCAGGGAAGGGGTGAAACCTGCCGACAGACCTCTTATTTTCTCCTCAGAGCTCTTTCCCCCACGCTTCCACGCATCCAGGAAAGCCACAGCCCTCGTTTCACAGCCTGCCGGCGTCGACAACGAGAAATTACGCTGAACCTGCCAGCATGAGGGAAAAAGCAAAATAAAACTGAGCGACGCTACCCCTTCTTCCCCTGACTCAAGGGAAAACACGGAGGGCAACGCAGGGCTCCGGGAGCAGGGACCAGCCATGCTCTGGGGGCACATGGCCGGGGCCAGGCTCGCCTCTCGGCCCCCACACGGGCTCCCGGCGGCCGTGAGGGTAGGGCGGGAAGAGGGGAGGTCGCGGCCCCGGCTCCCCTTCCCCTGTGCGGCCCCCGGAGGGCGGGCGCTGGCCGGACCCCACTGCCGCTCTCCCGCTCCGCGGGGACCGCCCGTCCCTCGCCACGGGCCGGCTCCGGGAGCGCCCGGGGCGCCCCGCCGGCCTTTCCCCCGGCGGCGGCCCCGCATGCGCGGGCGGGAGGGGAGAGGAAGCGGGAGAGCACCAGATTCAAATCGCTGCTGAGGGAGGGAGGGAGGGAGGGAGGGGAGAGAACTGGGGGAAGGAGACAGCCGGGGGGAGTGGAGAGAAGCGGAGGAGGGAGGAGAAGAGAGTGGGAGGGGAGTGTGGAAGACTAAGGGAACGCGGCAGAAGCCAGGAGAGGAGGCACGGCGGACAGCGCGGGCAGGCAGAGCTGTCAGGGGAAGGATAGTGCTGCTTCGGGCACCCACGGCCGCAGCGCGGGGCAGCCGCCCCGGCCCGCCCGTCCGCCGCGCTCCGCCCGCCAGCCCTCCGTCCCTCCCGCTGGCACCATGGTGGACAGGGGCCCCTTGCTGACCTCGGCCATCATCTTCTACCTGTCCATCGGGGCTGCGATCTTTGAGGTGCTGGAGGAGCCCCACTGGCGCTCGGCTACCGACGACTACAAGCGGCAGAAGACGGAGCTGCTCAAGCAGTTCCCTTGCCTGGGCCAGGAGGGGCTGGACAAGATCCTGCAGGTACAGCGGGTGCCGCCGGGGCGGGTGCCGGGCCCAGGGCTGGGGGTGCCGGGCGGCAGCAGCAGCAGGTGCTGCTGGGCGACCCGGAGCGGAAAATCCCGCGCCCGCGGGCGGACAGGGAAATCAGCCGGCTCCCAACAGAGCCCGACCGCGTCTGTGCCTTCACAAAGCCCCGTGCCGAAAAACTATCCCTCGAGCGGGAGCGTAGGAAAACGTCTTGATCGTTCCTAACTTCTTAATGATAGAGCCAATAAATGGGTCCGCGTTTCCTTCTCTGTCCCTCCGAGTGCTGAAGGAGCAGAGGGTTGTTTTCGGTGCCGGCCGGCCGGCCCGGGGTGCCCGCCTGGAGCGCACTCCCGCCAGCCTGCCCGCCACTCAACCCGCGCCCGTGAATGCGGCTCTTGTTGTAGCACCCGGGGTGGTTCCTTCTGCCTCAATGGATGGTGTGTTGCGGGGAAAGGAAGGTGAAGCCAACTGTCTCGATCCTCTTATGTTTGGTCTGATTTCCTTCTCCTTCTTCCCCCCCCCCCTTTCCCTTACTTAATTGCTGAAGAGGTGCCTGGGGGTCCCGAAGGTCAGTCGGGGTAACTGGGGGAAAGAGTGCAGGGCTCGCACGGAGGGATGCTCGCAATTCTTGCGCTGTTACACTTTACTAGACTGACTTCTTTCTAAACCGTGAGGAGTTGGTAATCGTCCTGTCCCGCTCACCTGGCAGAATGTCTCTTCAAAACTAATTATTAATCGATAGCGTGTATAAATTCCGAGAGCAATATAAACTTGATTAGTGCCTTTTTATGGATATGGTATCTATTAAAACGTGGTGGCAAGCAATGGTGAACCATGAAAAACAGGCTATCCGGATATGTGGGCTCCACTGGTGAGAATGAATCATTTATTTCAGAAATGTTTATACCGAGTAAATCTTCTGCTCGTGTTTTGGGTTGTTTTTAAAAAATTATTTTATTTTCAAATTCACTAGAAGTCTGTTAAAATGCTAAAATACGAAAGAATTCGAAAGTGGCTCATTAGTTCTCTTGGTGTAATACGGTGTAAGCTTAGAAGAGTATGGGCTCCTGATCCTACAAGTTTGTGGTTTAAGTTCTCTTTCTTCAGTTGGTGGCTGCCTTCTGTCTGCTCCAGATAGCAGAGCTTTCTGGTGGTTGTGTCCTTATTGTTACCATCTTAGGGCCCTGTTAAGTGTGTATTTGTGGTATAAAGTGGAACAGGTGGATGGAGGCTTGAAACTATTAAGGGATGTTAGAAAATGAAAGATGCGCTATGCGTTTTGAGTATGCTTTTGCTGTTCTGGAATCTTAATGAAATCTTACTCTAGGTTATACCCCAAACCTGTTTTAAAGTCCGCAAGAGAAAAACCTCATTTGGATTGGATGTGCATGAAGGCTGACATGCTTAACTTGCTGCAGACATAATCTAAAATCTATATTCTGCCTCAATTTAGGAGGAAATTCATGTTGGTATGAGGGAATCAAGTTCTTCCCCCCCCCCCGATCTTTGTCACAATTAATCCTGAAGTGGCAGAAAGATTCTTTAAATACAGGATGACAATGAAAAAATGTTGAGGACCTTCCCTCTTCAGTACATGTTAGCTCCTGGTGATAGTCTCATATTCATGTGGTTTGAGTTTTGCCTCTGTACTACTTCCAATCATATCCTACTTTCCATGTCCAGTCTTGCTGGTCTGATCCCTCATAGATATTCTGTTGTTGTCCTAACCTCAATTTAGCTAAATTACTTTGTCTTACTTTGCCTTTATTTCACTCTTACTGGTTACTGGAAACTTTACTGCCTGCTTTCTTTCAGAGTTGTAGTTTTGCTCCTATTCTTATTCAACTTCTATGTGAGAAGTGATGGGAAGGGGTGGAGTGTCATTTCTGACAGAGAAGAATGGCGTGGTGAAATCTAACCTATCTGAAGCTAACTGTGATGGGAGAAATCACGTAAGGGTATCAGGATTCTGTCCTGAGTAAGCTGTAAAGCATATCAGAAATAGTCATTGTTCTTTCTCAGCCACTATCAATGCTGCTTCTGTTGGGTTCTGCTGAATCTTTAAAACATTACTAACATCTATGCTCTTTCACAAATCCTGATCATTCTCATATTAAACCTTCAAATTTATTCTCTTGTGATAAATCCAGAATGTTGTTGATTTGAAAATGGTCATTTAATGCCCCCTGTCTCCACTTCTGTCTTGTTCCTCTGAGCCTCTTCCTCTAGCCTCTTCCATGAACTCCCTGAATTTGTTCTTGGGATTTTGCATGGTTTAACTAATTTTCTATGCTGTTGTATCTTTTTTTTTTTTTTAAAAGTGGCTTCATCTTGGAGCCTTTTCTTTCACTCTGCTTTTGGTTTCTACTGACACTCATGTCACTCTACAGAGCCACATTGAGCTTTGCTGTTATTTTGTTGATGTTCTTTTTAATATCCCCATTTAAAACACACTGGATAAATTTCCCCAATAAATATCACCATTTTTTTTAGAATTTTAAATGGTTGTTAGTAAAATGCAAGGATGCCAAGGAATGCTCAAGTTGAACTAACAATACCAATTTTGTTTCCAGAAGCAGCCTGAAAGGTGACAAGGACTGACTTATTCAGAGACCGGTCTCTCTGCTGCCCTTGTTCCCCACCCAGGTTAGCTCAGTGTTCCTTTGAGCCTAATTGTAGCTGTAAGTGCAATGGAAACTCTGTGTGGAATGACTACAAAACTAGATCTGTATGGTTAATCTGAAGTACTTTAAAAGACAAGTAGATCATCAGCAAAGATTCTCAACTCACATACAGACTAGTATCTCTACACCAACAGTTCAAGTGATTACAAAGTGAGCTGTATGTGGTGAAATACTTTCTAAAGTTTGTATTCTGTAATAAAAATTTCACAATGTATTATGGTAGAAATACACTACAATAAATGTTTACTGAAATGTGTTTAACACGCTTTCAGAAATCTACAAGCAGAGTATTATAGGATATGCTAAAAAGAAAGCCTTTTTCCCCAATCCTGAGAAATGCCTAAAAATAAACTTGTTTAAAAACAGGTTTTAGGAATCTCTTGTATGAAGACCCCATCTGCTTTTAATTGTCGTGAGTACCATATTACTTACCATAACTAGAAGAGTTAAAGAAAGTACTTAAACAATCTTGGAGCAATGCTATGTAGACCCTGATTTTAAAGGTTACTCACTCTGGGCAGTGTATAGGCTGATTGCTGCCTGCCCATGTTCTTCTGGGTAAAGCTGATTGATCAAATGAAAATGTGGCTGAGATGCTTCACATGGCAATTTATTTAAGCCTCCAGAGACCCTCAAGCACAACTGTGTATTGACACAAGGAACTGTAATCTCTCATCACTATGTACAATTACTTTGGAAAAGAAATGTTTCATAACTCTGTGGAATATCTGCAAAAATTAACATTTTTAATATGGATATTATGGCACCGTGTTTATTGTCATTGTAGAATCTTAAAAGTAGTGTAATGCCTTTGTTGATAAAAGTCTTGTCGTTGCCACTTGTTTCAGTGGCCCTGAGTCCTGGTACTCTTTAGGAAGGAGGGGACAAAGCAGAGATCCACAGTGATGACACCTTTACTTACCCTGCTGTAGGAATAAGTTTTGAAGACCGAAGCAAATGTAAGGTGATTCAGTCATTTCCCTCTTCTCCGGCTCCTTACTTTTACTCTTTATTGCTCCATCCCGATTGTGAAACATCAGCTTAATGATAAAGGAGCTATTCATGCAAGGAGGTGCCCTCTCGACCCTCATGTCAGTATTCACATGAGCAAAGGTTTGCCAACCCTGGGCCACGTCTTATTTACCAGGAAATCTTTTACTGGCCTGCTATGGTCATCAAAAAATTAAATGCTTCCCATTGATAAACACCAAGGCTGGTGAAAAGAAAGGGAAGAATTTGAAGATGAGTGAAAATGGTTACTTTCAAAACAGCAATAAAATGAAAAGAGAAACTGCTGGCTCTCTTTAGGGTAAGCAGGCAAACATACTGAGTATGAGAACAAATAGTTGAAGTCTTTATTTGAAAAGCATACAAGACTCTAAACAGGCCTGAGAGAGAACTTTAGAAACCTAAATGTTTAGACCTAAAGGCCGGTGCTATGAACAAACATTTGGAAGACTTTTAAGGATAGCTGCTGCTGGGATATACATGGCACATGGTTCATGCTAAAGGAAATAACAGTTAAGTGGATTAATAATAGTTTCTCCCCTCTATTTTTTAAAACCAAAATGTCCTCTCCATTCACAAGTACCTACAGGTGCATTTACAGGATTTTGGTTTGTCTTTGAGTATGCTGAAGATTGCTTCTAGATTTGTATATTCTTGGAACTTGCCTGTTTTATTATGAAAATCTAAAAATATTCTCTGATTCTGAACATTGTTTCCCACCTTGCTTTACTTTCAAGCTTCTACCTCGAGGTTTAAATCTATTTGCTGTACTCTTGAGAGTGTCTGCAAGCTGTAGTTTTCTTAAAAACTTGAACTATGTTTTAAATGCTCTTTGTTAGTCCAATTTCAATAGAGATGATGGCTTTTGCTTACACTTTGTATAGTGATTTTTTTCAATGTAAAGCTTATAGGGGCATATTTTTTGTAATCTCTCCCTTCCTCTGTTCATCAGGAGATGCATAAATGAGATTCTAGACTTACTTGAATTTGTTGGTTTGATCTCTAGCTTCCTGATTCCTTCCATAGAGGGTATTGATTGTGGGATAGATAAATAGGGGACTGAATTCATTATCTGGAATGCCAGTTGACTCCCCCCTTTCAAGACTAAGCTGTTTTCCTAGGCTGAACAAAGTAAAGCTGAGCATCTGTCAGACAAGGACAAGTGACTGCCAATGAAATATCTTTAACTGCAAAGTTGTTAACGACTACATCTAATAGCTCTCATATAAAAACTTGACAGTGTAAGTTAAAGCTTATGCCTGAGAAATAGCCATTGCTAGATTTTTCGAATTTATATCTTGA